TGTTTACAAATACTTTTACTCTTTTGGTGATGGTTGATGTATTTCTCCAAGTTTTGGCTTTGTACAGTATACTGTCTTGACATTCTTATTGAAAATTATGACTCTGATTGTCCCTTATTAAATACTCCGCTTATAGTTATCATGCAATTACCCCTACTATAGTACATACATCTGTATTATTATACAGGTACAATGTTCTGATTTGTGGGAGGGAATCGCAGACTGTCGGTGGGAGATAAGAAGCACCGAAAAGGTAATAATGGTTTTCATTAACAAATGAAAACATTCGATTCAGTGGACCATGAATACACATTTATTTCATGCTAGGTTTTCTACTTATCGTGGATAAGACTGGTTGCTAGCACGTTAACACCGTCGATTATAGGTGGAATAAATATTCTTAGGCACTGCAAATTCAGTAATTAAGAATCTGAAAAACACCACTGGTAACTGTGGACAGCTAACAATCTGTTGATGATCAGATATGAATTGCTTGGTAACATATTTATCTATTCACGCTTATCTATACAGAATTCAGACTGATAGTATTAGGAATGTATGACTGATTACATCAGAGATATATATTTGATAAAGAGTCCTTTAATAAGATGAGAAATCTATTCTTTACTATAATATATAAATTACATTTACAAATCTGTATTTTATTCATACATAACTAAGTATTCAGTGAAACTCATTGTGTGATATAAAATCTTAGATGAAATACACAAAAATATAGATCATTACCATTTACAGATGTTAAGATCAGTTCATTCATGTGTTGGTTTTAGAAAATTCATGCAAGAATGAACATGATTATCTATAATCATATAGCAAGAAATTACATTGATATAGATTGCAATTTTATCGAAATTTGTAAGTGAAGAGCATGTTAATACTGAAATAAACTAGAGCTTACTCTAATGATTTTGTTTACATTTTGTATGTTATACATGGTACTAACATTACCAACTGCTACTAACTAGAGAACTATTGAAAATAGAACTCAATGAACAATAATTTCATCTAAGTTGGTACTTTTTGTCAGTATATAAACATGAGCTTATGAGAAATCAAACCCATATCACACAAATTATGAAGCGATTACAACATTATTGAACAAAAGAGCTGGTATCTGTCTAAACAAGCCTTGAAGTTTGGACGATGTGATTTTTGTCGGCACACTCTGCTGTGTTATAAGGTATCACGAACCATTTAATCAGTCAGCCATACATAACGTAGAACGTGAAACATGTGTGTATCAGTTCAAATGGCCAAAGCACATCAACACAGGAAAGTACTTGAGTAGTATAAATAATAACAGCAGTAGTGCTAGTAAAAAGTATGAGGCATAACAGGCATAATTCGACAAGAAAATGTAGATTTGTTGAATAAAAAATATTGTAAGATAATCGCGAGACTTAGGATCTAAGGAAAGTCAATGAATACACTTGTGTTATTGTGAACGATTATGGCGCAAAGTCTGTAAACATTAGTGATAATTATTTCACTGACCCCAGCCAGGTAGTCTACACCTAACTATTTATAAAAGTCAAGTTGGATGCGCTAAATTTTGCATGACATATATGACCATTTTACACAATGATCTCTCACTTTACTTGTAAAAATCCTAATTGGTAAAAGTATACTACACTGACGAGTCAATCACACTTAAGATACCAGGTATTGAGATTTTGCACCAAATTGGTTATCCAGCTAACTTGAAGGTTCTGGATGTTTAAAATCAAAGAAATATTTTTATCACTATTCATCCATATTGGACTACAAAATATTTTCTGAATCATTGTTTTATAATTACTCTAAAGGCCTATATTACACCTGTATTCTAACAGTCAGACTGATTGCTAAGCATAACTCAAACTCCCAAGTCAATTTTCTACCCCAACTCCTACTCCTTATCAAAATTTCTAATATCTTATGGGTTATTGTATTAAATTATCCATTCACATAAACTGCATTCAGATTAACCGAAAATGGGTTTTGCACTCTCAAGGTCATTCATGAGTCTATGAAGGCCGACAGTATAGTAAACTTTAATGTCCAAGTCTATATCGATCAATATGTATTAGAATGACTGAAAATGTGGTGACTTCATAAGTTTACTCCTTTTTTTTAATGAATCTTCTTATACTAGAATAACACAAGTAAATTGGTCAGTGACTTTTTTAAATTTATTAGTTCATTAAACTTGGTTATTGTGTTTATCAAATCCAGTTAGTTTATTCTATAATTACGCATGAATCTTTTCTTATATTGAATATAAAGAAAAATAGAATTCATTGAAGAAAATATTCGTTTGAATGAAATCATTTAGTCAAGTTGTAAATCCTTATATATATATATATATATATATATATATATATATATATATATATATATATATATATATATTCTCATCCTCCTATTCTTCACTAACCCTTTGATCATTACTGAACCTTCTTTAGATATCCTCAATTTCAGATCACTTTATGACTCAATCTTTTCTATCCTTCTATATTACTTACTTACGCCTGTTACTCCTGATGGAGGATAGGCCGCCGACCAGCATTCTCCAACCCACTCTGTCCCACTCTGCCTTCTTTTCTAGTTCCATCCAATTCTTCATTTTTCTCATGCCTATTTACATTTCTCGGCGTAATGTGTTCTTTGGTCTTCCTCTTTTCCCTTGGCCTTGAGGATTCCAAGTGAGGGCCTGTCTTGTGACGCAGTTGGGTGCTTTCCTCAATGTGTGTCTTATCCACTTCCAGCGCTTCTTCCTGATTTCTTCCTCCGCTGGGATCTGGTTTGTTCTCTCCCACAGTACGCTGTTGCCAATAGTGTTTGGCCAACGGATCTGAAGTATTCTTCTATATAAATTCATATATTTATCAAACAACTATATATATACTGATTTAAAGCTCAAGTAAATGATTTTATTTTTATACTTGTAAAGCAACATTTATCAAAAGTAGTTCACATAGATTTTTTCTTGAACAATATTTAGAAACAATAATGGAATTTCATTTAATTTCTCTCATCTATAAGTTTCTATTCTTTTCTTAGTTTTCTTATATAGTTAACTTATGAATAATTAATTGTATAAACAATTCATATAATTTCTCCACATTTATTGCGTTTATTTATTTATTTACTAATCTACCTATAAGTTCACTTCAATCTTGATTAAAGTTTTAGTGTAAGCATGAAATAAAGCATATCATACCTTTCTGTAATCATACAAAGAGAATTCATGTAATAATTTGATTCATATTAATCATTTTACATTTATTGTTTTTGGTATAGTGAAATATTAATGAATTTAGCTATTTAGAAGTGACCGAATTGTTCAATAGCTGAATCTTTGAAAATGTTGTCAGTTACTTTTTTTGTTGTTGAGGATTTAACCTTACTTGCAAATTTTCACTGTGAATAAACTTCTATATTCTTTCATAATAAGTTTTAAGAGTTTTCATCGAAGTATAAGAAATACTAGGACGAAACGGCCGTCCAGTGATCCCAGGTTTTCAGTAGTAACCTAATAATGATTAGTTCATAGTCTCAGTAAAAACATAACAATCTCCACAACGCTGTACGGATAATTATCATGTGGCCACTGATGACTAGCTTCAAAAGGTCATTCTCATGAGAAGCCGTGACCAGTGGAGTTCAACCGTGTAGGATTTGAGGCAGTTACCCATAGAAGACAATAGGAGATTGGTCTAAGTTAGACATTAATACCGTGGAATGCCGGTTCAGTGGTCTAGAGGTTAAGAGTTGGCACGAAACTGATAATCCTAGGTTCGAGTCCAGTATGCGAGATCACGGATGCGTACTGTTGAGAAATCCTATACTAGGACGAACCGGTCGTCCAACGCTTCCAGGTTCTTAATGGTGGTTCAACATTAATCGATTCATGATCTCAGCAAAAACCCAATAACCTTCACAACCCTGTAATAATAATATCTAGTTTTTTAATACTTTTTTTGTATCAAATTCATAAAATTATTATTATCATTATATCGATTTGATAAGTAATATTGAATTGATAACTGACTGAGAAAAAACGAATATTACATAATTGACTATATTGATTTTAATTGGTTTCTATTAGGTAGAAAATTTATTGGTACAACTATTCGTATTTATTACAATATAGTATGTCGTTTAATTGGTTACTGGGATATTTCAACGTTAATCAATAAATATAGTGAAATAAAATTTTATTTCATTTATCCAATATTAAATATTACAAACGACAAAATTGTATATATTTGACTGAACTATTCAGATTTTGTTAATTTGTTTTTTTCAGCTTCATTTATTAATCATAAATGGTGATTGGAACTAATTCTTTCTGTCCCATGTTTCATCCATTGCTAGTAGAAACTAGTAAGTTATATTTTCATTTGACCTAGAAATATCAGTCTGTTTTACTATAATTGATTAGAAAAATATATCCTTCTTGTATTTTTAATATACTTCGTGGGAAATATGATTATATGTAAATATAGATAACAGGATAGGATAACGTGATAATATTTTTCATTTGATTCACCATCAACATAATTAACTATAAATTTAACGACCAATTATTATTGATGCAATATTAGTGAGTGATCATTGCGTATTAATGAGTATTTTAACTCTATGTTTTCTCATATGATATACATTAATCACTATCGAGACACTAATATTGTCTTCTAAAGAAGTTCAACAACAAACAACCATATTATAACTCAATGGTTATGTTAATGGCTTTAGTTCGCCCGAAAAATGATTATAACTATTTAGTTTCTTTTTACGCATAAAAAACCCACAACAAATTTCAAAACTAATGCAAGCACTTTGAGTATATAAGATTTATTACCAAATACATTTTACACGTTTGTGTGTACTCAAAAGCGTTACATACAAGTGTAATTAAGAAATTCGTTCGAAATACTTCACATAAAAGATTTTACCGACCGATGAACAATGCTGTTATATTTATATCAAATATATTAATAACTGACTGTGTGCCGTTTTAACAAAGGAGCCTCCAAAATCAATCTATTGTCAATTAGTTGAGCTGTCACTAATAACGGATCTACTGTTTCTGGAATTTCGTACGAATGAGTGAACTCGGCATACGAACTGCTCCTTTTCTTGTTAAAATAACCACTGTCTTTATGATAACTTATTCCTGACACGACAACACGTTTGGAATCTACGTTTACGCATAAATCCTCGGGCTTATACACTGGATCAACAGGTACTTCTAAATGCAGACGCTTTCCATTTACTTCATCGTCTAAAATTGTTGGACCAGATACACCTGAAAAAAACACGGAGAGAAAAACACTTAAGTAGCTATTCAAAATCAATACCATATTTCCAGCCAATAAAAAGAGCGACTGCCACTAACAGACTTAAATCTCACAACCATACCAAAAATCTTTCCAACGTTAGTCAGTCGATTTACCAACCTTTCACAGCAAGTGCCTTTGATGCTGGGACTGACTGGATCTGATCTGCTGACTTTGGATGAATCCCAAGTCGACGATTATCCGTGAATGTGATTGACTCATAGTCGGGGGCTTTCACAGGAGCCTCTAACATAAGAACGCCATCCTACAGAAAACAAAGTAAATATCGTCACTTAGCATATTGATTTGTTTAGTACATAGAACGTAACATATTTTGGTGGACCATCACTATAGTGACGAGGCAACCAATGTCACGTAGTCTTTTATTTTTGAAGTAAAATTCAGAAACCAAAGTCAGTAAGTATACACCTTATGAAGAACTTTGCAGAGAGCATCTTTAGTTAGTACTTACATCGCCTAGGCCAGATGGAAAAAAGTCTATCGGACCAATTGAAAATGATACGAACAACTTACTCATCTGATGGGGAGTTTACTCGGAACAATTCAAAAAGTTCATATTTTCCTTAGTTCATAGCAAATCGAATCATGTCATTACTGATGCAATGTAGAATGATCACAGTTCTGTTACCCTTATCCATGAAAAGGTGAGGATTTTCATTTATATATTTCTCAGGTCATGGTATCTCAACGTCATTTTGGGAAATCATCTGACATTGTGAAAACCACCAGATATTGTTTTTAACTCGTACTTACGACCTTAAAAAGGATTTAGGTGTAAATCGATGTTCGTATAAATGAGTGAGCCCTAAAGCGAAGATAGTGTATCTTGAGATAGAGTAAACCGTTCAAAAATATTGGAAAGTACAAGAGTCGTTTTCGATTATCACATAATACAGGCTTCATTACTTTTCTAGCGAGAAGTTCTTGATTTAGATGATCTATTAGCTTACTGACTAATAAGAAGGAAGAACGATTTCAAGGTTATTCACTATTATTCAAGGTCCCGTTCAATAAGTTATCAGGATCGTAACACATGAAACTAATATGGATATAAATAAGTACACCATTATCAATACTTACTTCTGTCAAACGACACTTCAATTGGTTATGATCGATTGTTTGAGGAAGCTCTATCATCCGACAAAACTCACGAGAAGATTTTGATGAATCAGATTCTGAAACTTTCTTCGCATGAACTGTCAAACGATGTTCTGTAGAGTCAACCTTGATATCGTCGGGGGTAAAACCATTCGTGTCGAAATGTACCTTGAAGTAAAGCTATTAAATAGAGAAGAAATGTAATAAAAACTTCAATTACAGTTACAAATAAATTATGGGCACATTGTAGCCTAAGATGCAACACACATCACTCACCTTCCCATCTTCACCAACCTCATAAGCATCCTTCAAGAAGTCATTAAGAGCACCAACTCCTGGAACTCTACTCATGCCCACGCGATTCCGAATCTCCTCAATCTCATCTTCCATTTGGTTCATCAGGTCAAAGGGGTCTGGATAAGATGATCTCAGACCAAAAATATCAAGAGGCTAAAATTAAAAAAATGCATAGTTGAACCAGACTTTTATCATACTGCATCATTCACAGCATCTGACAATTTAGCCCATAACTTCCGACCCCTAAGTTAGATTATAAGATAAGTCTGAATATTGAAAGTCAAATATTCACTCTTATTTTATTGATACCTGACTCGTATAAAGCTAGTAAGAAAAAGTCATGTGAATTAAAGCCTACATTTCAACTCGTCATTTTCAGAAACAATTTTAGTCGTTATGAGATTTGTATAAACTATAATACTTTTACTCAGAAACTTACCAAAAGTGCGAACATCCCACGCCTTAGTCTGTACATCTCATCATCCCAACTGCGCCAAGATGAATCAACCCAATTATCTATCACATCCGACCACGTATCAGTGTGTGGAGTATTTGCAAGCCTAGGTCGTTTTCTTCCTTTATGTCTATGCTGTAATCCGGTCAGCATTTCACGCCTGTGTTGTTCAAATGTTTTTGGCTCCTGGTTTATCGGTATATCTACTGACTTGTGTTGATGGTTATTTTTCAACATCATCATCCAACAAATTGTTAAAAATAGACTTCAGGCAAAGCAACAATGAAAGATTGAAAAACAAAATGATACAGATAATCATATGATTTATAGCTCTTATATTCGTATATGTGATGTGTTTATCTATCACAATTTATAGTCCAATCAACTAAACGATAATACATAGACAAACACGTTCATAAATATTCTAGGAGTTTGTAGGGTAGTAGAACATACTCGATATTTTATGAAACTCAAGGTCGAACTGATTTGTTGTTTTACCTAATTAGCGGACAACGTTGCTAAACACTTTGTGTACAACCCAAGGACACATTTTCTTTGTAACTAATATGCGAATCTGGCTACATCTTGATCCGATTAATTAATGTTCTGTGTTGTAGTACTTTTATATTAGTGGAATTATCATTTAATGGAGGCCATAAGCAGCTGGAACTGGTTTCAAACCAACTGGTTCCGGTCATTTCGTTTCTAAGTTATGGGTGTTAAATTACCAGTCAAAAGCATCAGAATTTTAGTCGACTAGTAACGAAATAATTCGTGTACTGTGATTTCATAGTTTTCAATATAGTGAAATTAAAAAGATATTTGTATATTTAAATGACAAATTATGCTGAGAATCTATTTGTAAATTTTAGGTCCAGGTAACCGAGTGATGACGTAAGGCTTTTTAAGTTTGATTTTGAAAAGTACAGGAGGCTTGTTGGCCTGTGTTATTCGTCGCAATGATGGTATCTCAGTTCATCAAACTTTCTTTTGAAAGAGTTGACAGATGGAGCTTCAATCACATGAATTCAACTAGTTGATTCGATAGGAAAGTCGATAGACAGCTGACAAGTGATTTGTTCTGGGCTCGTGAATTTCTTTGGAGTGTCCTCGTAAATTCTCTCTTTTGGAAGACGAAAAATGAGGACATATCAGGTGCAAATTTATCACTAAGTAATTTGAAAACTGTAATCAGATAACATTTAGTTCTTCGGAATGACAAAGGGAATAGGTTTAGTTTAGCCAGTCGAGCATCGCACGGGAGCTTCGCTATTCCGGGAATCAGCTTAGATGCTGTTCTTTGACAGCGTCATAAAGTTTCTTCTTCTCAACCTGTACCCATTCATCAACTTTCGTTCGAGTAGCAACCACAGTCGCGTCAAACGCACTAAGGGATTCCGGAAGGTTATCGAAGACTTAGGCAGTCAGGTTGTGCTTCCTGCTAGAAACCGATCGAACATTGCGATTGCGCTTCTTAGGCGTTTCCTACCAGTCGACATTTAAAAGACGGGAGACACATGGAACTTCATTTCATGGGTTTTATTTGGGACAGACCTCTTTGAATTTGTTCTTTCCTCCTTTGACCGATGTGAATCAGCTGTCACCGAGCTCACTTGAGGTGGCTTCACATCGATTTGTGTGTTGACTCAGCGCTTATTGTTCGTTGTGTTCCGACCTCGTACGTTAATACACTTTTTAGCAGCATTTACCATTGAAATGGCCTCGCCTAGCAAGCTGTTTGCATCCGAGCAGCGCTACTGACAAAACCACACGCAACCATTTTTAGTAAAAAATTTGAAAGCCTCAGGCGTTGGTTTCGTGCAAAGTTTCTGATACCAAACTTTGCACTCGTCGCACCGCAAACCGCGTTCAACGGGGTATCGACAGCCAGGGCGTTGGCAATTAAAATTCATGAACTGTCCAGCTATCAAACGGAGGTTTTCAAAAACAAACTAGATACAATAATACCCAGAGACAAAAGTAATTTATGACCAAAAGGGTGGAGAACTGTAAATTGTTTGGACCAAAACTGCTAACAAATACAACAGAAACAAAGTACTCAGAAGTATCGACGATAAACTACTTTGGAATCAGAAACGATACTCTAAGCGGATACTTTAAGTGAAATAAATTCAATTAAAGTGTAAACAGTGGTCTTGTTACGTAATAAACGATCAAAACAATAGAATTTACTCAGTGAGGAAAAATACCACTATCCTTTCTAAACAGCGCGCGAAGATCACACAAAAATAATTTGTATATTTATCATTTTCTTAAATCGTTTACAGATGGAGGTAACCAATGAGCGTAGAGTGAACTAACGTAGTTTTGAGATTGGGTACAATATAACAATATCCAGGTACAATTTACTGGGATTTATGCGCAAACAAAAGCGAACGAATGAGGTTGTTCAATTCCTTTCAAATTCAATCAACAAAGAGTTCAACTTAAAACAATCTTTTGTGTATATTGTTATGTACCAAACAAACTGTCAATCATATTAACATAAAATTCGTTTATTTGCCTTTATACTCACGGACACAAATTCTAACATATCTAAATCATGTTGGATTATTGCGCCTTAAATATAACGTGATCGCAGTTCATTACACCATCATGATTTTATTTGGATGTAAAAGATGATTATTCAAGCTTGAATATCTTGAAATGAAAGGCCTACGAGAATCTAACATTCTCGATATAGAAAAAGATGGTCAGTAACAGAAAGAAGTATATTTCTGTGTGAGCACAAGACATGAACACGCGTTTCGAGTTTAAGATTGGATAAGTCTAGACAAAGTAATCATCTATTGATCATATATCAAAAATAACTTGATGACTAGACACTTTAATCCTGGTAAACATGAAATTGTACAGATTCCCTGAAGATCCAAATGAATTTCTGTAAATCGCGATGAATGCAATTTAATATGGTAGACTTGAAGAAAGTTGTTTAAACTGATAGTATTGCATAGTTTAGTAAAGTCTACCTTAGATGACTCGACAGAATATGAGAAAGATTGACTTACAGGCTATTTATTGTAAATAAAAATTTAAAACTCATAGAAACCCACGATCTGTATGACTAGTATGGTAAGCGAATAAAAGTTGGGAACCCCAATGAGCGAAAAGCATTCTGCACTATAACCTTTTAAAATCCAGATGATTAAATGCACATTATATCTTCAGTTGACATACCACATTATTCTATAAGGTGAGTTGAAGTAGATTGAGGTTTTAACACTAAAAAGTACCATAGAGTTAAATAAAGATAACCAAAACAACAAACCTAATTAGAATACACATTAAAAAATTAAAACGTTGAATTTGATTTGACCATTCTCAAGACACATGAATTCAACTAATAGTGAATCCAAGTGAATAAATCACCGGTTATATAAGGCAAAATTAACCGTAGATAAGTTGTTATTAGGAAAATCCAAGTGACACAACTTCCCATATAAATAAAAAGGGATAAATATCCATACATTCCATGCAAATTTCAAACTGACAAAAATTAATAGGCCGTTAGTACGAGTCACAACCAGAAGCAAGATGTGAGCTGTCTCGAAAGTTAATGAGATTGATGTTAATATAGGTTGAAAATCGAAAAACAATCCTGCTTGATTACATAAGCTATCATACAATAAACCCGTTTGGGATCTTTGGCCTGGATTTTATAGATCGTGACAACGTATTCGCGTTTATTAATGAGGCCCATTTCTAAATTCGTATTACGCTTCAGTAACTATTGATTCATTACAAATGGGGAGAAGTGGTACTTACGAATAGTCCTAGTGAGAAGTCTACTCAAAGAGCAATAATAATATTTAGTCATGAAGTGATACCCTACACACTCATCAACCGTCTTCTATTACTCCACGTCCACGCTCCATTCACAACATTAACGAGCATGCAGTCACGAAAATCCCAATGAAAAATCAATTTCACAGAATCTGAACGCAGGAACAACATGTAAATCAAAACCAAACTATCGTCCTACCAACCGCACACCAGAAAGTAAACGTTCAACAAGTCAACTGAATACGCTGATCACGAAATAAATAACATGGGATCGAATGCAATTCAAAAATATTTATTCAGAAAAATCACATCAATATTTTAACATTAATCAACGATTAGTTTAGTAAAACATATTCTCTTCTAGTGAGTAATTGCATGTTGCTTCTCCAATGGCGCCTCCAATACCAATGTATTGCCAACTACCTGAGCAGAAACAGATAACGGATCAACTGTCTCGGGAATCGCATACGACTGACTGAACTCTGCAAATGAACTTGACTTTCCATATTGACCACTCTTCTGCTTATGATGACGTCCACTAACCACAACACGATTCGAATCAACATTCACACACAAGTCTTCAGGCTTGTACACTGGGTCCACTGGAACCTCAACATGCAATCGCTTGCCACCTGAACCATCATCCACATACGATAGACCATGAACACCTGAAATGCATAGGAAAAAAATATAATGTTAGGAAAATGCAACACACACAAACGAGAATAACACACCCACCAGATCGATCACAACTCCTCTCACCTTTTGCAACAAGTGCTTGAGACGCAGGAACTGCCTTAATCTGATTGTCCGATTTCGGTCGAACACCCACCTGACCAGACTCGTTCAGCGTCAACGACTGGTTCTGATCAACCTTCACTGGAGCCTCCAACATCAAAACACCATCCTGAAACGGATAGACAAACAAACGCACAGAACAAGATGAAACGAGACTTCCAACTATTCTAACATGATTCGGAATGCAAACAACTGCAAATACAACACACACAAAACCACCACCACCACCAACCACAGTCGTCAACTCAACAACTTACATCTGTCATGCGACATTTCAGTTGACTATCATCAATACTCTTCGGCAGCTGCACCATACGACAGAACTCCCGACTACACTTCCCACCATCGGTCGTCGTCTCCTTCTTCGCGTGTACCGTCACACGGTTCTCACTCGACGTCACATTGATGTCCTGAGGAGCGAAACCTTGTGCGTCGAATCGTACCTTGAAATGTACCTACGCAATAAACAACAACCATAATAACACTCGTCAATCAACGGCCATGTTCAAACCAACTGCACAAAACAATAAACACAACCTACCTGCTCGTCAGCACAGACTCACCTTGCCATCCTCACCTATTTCGTAGGCGTCCTTCAAAAAGTCACTCACTGAACCGGTCGACGGAACATCCATTGAGCC